ACTTACCACAGGTTTTATAGAAAGTGCTTGACCACTAAGTTTTCACTGTTCAACCTGATAAAATGTAGGGAAAATTCTCTTTGTTGTTGTTGTTGTTATGTGCTGTGGAGTCAGTTCTGACTCATAGCGACCGTGTACAGGGTTTCCAAGGCTGTAAGTCTTTACGGGAACAGAAAGCCTCATCTTTTTCCCGCGGAACCTTCCAGCTGGTATTTTCGAACTGCTGACCTTAAGGTTCACAGCCCGATTCGTAGCCACTATGCTAAGCTACTGAAAACAGCATGTCTTGGATCAGGTGCACCTAGTCCTCCAACTTATTATCTTTGCTCTTGAACACTTGAAAGAGGTGTTGTGCAGCAGATTTGCCCAATGCAATAAATTATTTTATTTCTTGACAGCTGCTTCCAAGAATGCTGAGGTTGATTTGAGCAAAATGAAGTCTTTGGCAACTTCAATTGTTTCTCCACTTATCATGACATTATTTATTGGTCTAGTTGTGAGGATTTTTCTTTTCTTTACATGGAGGTATAACCCCTGAAGGCTGTGGCCTTTGATCTTCATAAGTATTTTAAGTTCTCTTCATTTTCAGCAATGAAGTTTGTATCATCTGCATATCGAAGGATGTTAATGAGTTTTCCTTCACTCCTGATAACATGTTGTTCTTCATAAAATCCAATTTCTTAGATTATTTACTCAGCATACAAATTGAATAACTATGGTTAACCTTGGCACACAACTTGCCTGTTTTTAAACCATTCAGTGTTCCCTTGTTCTATCAGAATGACAGCCTCCTGGACTAAGAACAGGTTCCTCAGGAGCACAATTACGTATTCTGGAATACCCACCTTTCACAATATTATTCATAACTTATCATGATCCACATAGTCAAAAACCTTTGCACGGTCAATACAGCACAGGTAAACATCTTTTTGGTATTCTCTGCTTTCAGTCAAGATACATCAGTCAGCAATGATAGCCCTCATTCCATGTCCTCATCTGAACCTGGCTTGAACCTCTGACAGTTCCCTATCAATGTACTGTTGCAGCTGTTTTTGAATTACCTTTGGCAAAATTTTGCTTCCATGTAATTAATATTCATGATATATTGCTGCAGCTGTTTTTGAATTACCTTTGGCAAAATTTTACTTCCATGTAATATTCATGATATTGTCTGATGAGTTCTGCATTCTGTTGGATAACCACTCTTTAGAATGGGTACGAATATGGATCTCTTCCAATCAGTTAGCCAGGTATCTGTCTTCCGAATTTCTTGGCATAGATGAGTGAGTGCCTCCCATGCTGCATCAGTTTGTTGACAGGTATCAATCTGTATTGTAACAATTCTCAGATCCTTGTTCTTTGCCAATGCCTTCAAAGCATTTTTAACTTCTTCCTTTAGTACCATTGACTCTTGATCATATGCTACCTCTTGAAATGGTTCAACACCATTTCTTTTTGTTAGAGAGACTCTGTATATTCCTTCCATTTTGTTTTGATGCTTTCTGCATCATTCAGTATTTTGCCCAAAAAATCCTTCAATATTGCAAGTTGAGGCTTAAATTATTTGCTCAGTTCTTTCAACTTGAGAAATGCTGAGTGTGTTCTTTTGGTTTTAGAATTCCTGGTCTTTACACATTTCATTATAATAGTAGATTTTATCTTCTTGAGCTGCCCTTTGAGATTTTCTGTTCAGCTCTTTTACCTCATTTCTTCCATTTGCTTTAGCATCTCTTCACTGGCAAGGAATTTCAGAGAATCCTCTGGCATCTATTTTGCTCTTTTCCTTATTTCTTAATGATCTTTTGCTTTATTCTTGTATAATGTTCTTGATGTCATCTCACAACTCTTCTGTTCTATGACCACTCATAGCTAATGTATCAAATCCATTCTTGAGATGATCTCTAAATTCAGATGGGATATGTTCAAGTTCATATTTTGGCTCTTATGGACTTGTTTTAATTTTCTTCAGCTTCAACCTGAATTTGCATATGAACAATTGATGGTTTGTTCCACATTCTTCCCTGGTCTTGTTTTGGCTGATGATACGGAGCTTTTCCACCATCTTTTCC